AACACGAAAGCTGTAGTAACAATATTTTGGGTAAGGTATACTGCAATATTAAGTCCATATCTCCAGATAAGCTATAATGATGAGCGAGTTTTATGTAGTGGGATAATATAGCTTTCTTGATTAAAAAGTGTGGATATTATTATTTCTGAAAAGATCTACTTGTTTCCTGACCTTTTTATGTATATAGAACAGAGGGGTTTTCCAAGTCTGTCACAACCACTGGCAGCTTGGTACTGAAGTCAATGTGAAATCTCTGAGTAGACATTTGGGAGGTGTCGTTCTGAATTCAGGGGAAGAACAAGCAGCTATGAATTCTCAAGCAATTTACAAGATATAATCTCTTTATACCCTCAGATAAGATTGGGAGATTCAACTTGATTCAACTGATCTTATATCCTCTGGAAAGTCGGAGACTCCTGGTGTAACATGCAATATCTTGACGATTTGTCTGTTTTTCTCACTTAGTTGTAACTTCTGAAACAGTGCGCAGTATTACTATTGCTTCTCATAAGCATTGGCACTATGAATTAACTACGAAAACTCCTTCCCCCACGTAAATTTCTCTTACAAGCTGACACCACAGGTGAGCTTCAGTTCGGGTAATTATCGTCGACAACTATGCCGGTTCAACCAACCCAAAGATAATGATTTTTCAGACGGATAAAGTGGGATGTAACCAGAGAAATGATAGACTGGCAACAACCAAAAGCATCACAAACCTCAATAAGTGTTATTGGCGTTTTTAGAAGTATAAAACTGAGTCCCTAAAAAGACGAGGCTTAACCGGGAATTTCTGAGGGCATATTTGCATCTCCAGAGTCCAAAGCTGGGATTCTCACAGGCAACTTCACTAATCAAGACTTATCATGATAACTTAATATCCCTTAAAAAGGACATGTAGTAACTTTGAGGCCCACGACAAGGTTAATAAATTGAAAGTGATGATAACTAATCACATAACAGCAAATGCTATTGCAAAAATAAGAGTTGGAGAAAGGTCATCGAAGGATAAAGAAAACCATTCTATTGGTATGTTCAACAAAAGTGGGATATTTAGCATTCACACGTATTTTTCCGCTGGTTTAATATATCGGTGCTGAACATACGAGTTTCATTTCCAATGAGAAACTTCATATTAATCATCGGGAGCCATCTATAAATGTCTTAAGTGGACGCCCTTTTGTGATGAACTTGAACTCCCTGAATGAAGAAAGCATAAAACTATGCGTTAGGGCTTGAAGAGAAGTCATCAGTGAAGACTATGTCCTTATAAGTAACATTCACTTACTAAATGATATGTCCCATACATAGATGTACATCGGTTTGACACAAATCAAGATGGGATTATCGGGCGCAAGAGGGTATTGATAAACTAAAAGACAAACTAATAGAATACAACAATAACTTATCGGAAAATACATGTAATGATATCAAAATGCTTGACTTTATCTTCAACACTTGCAAAGTGAAAATTTGTGTACATATTATTTGGGGGTTGGACAAGTTGTCATTATAATGGCACAGAATTGTTTAGTATAGAGATATTCTACCAATTTATATTGCGACGTATGACAATAACTGGTGATTTGCAGCTTAACGTATGACCAGTGCAGGTACTTGGTGCTGAAGATGGCATAGGTAGTCAGTGTTTGACAACGCTTTTACCAGTAACACCTAATATAACTCGTACCCACCAAGAGAAATCAAAAGACAGAATCGAGGAGATCAGAAGTTGTATTTGACGATTGCCAATATATCGGAATTGTTTGATCTAGTCTGGCTAGCGATTGCAGTAGATGTTGAGCAAGGCGTTCCCACACGTGATCTGGCGAGGATGCATGACCGAGCGCCTTCAGCTAGATGAGTCCACTAAAACTAATCTGGTCAGCATTCAATGTCGAAAACGTACAGAGCTATTTAGTTTGGGGATTTATTTACCGCTACAATGCTGAGGTTAACAGTCACTAGAAATAAAGGACTATCAATTTTCTAACATTGTTGATACCACCACTATCTTTAGTTTAAATTGGAAAGTCAGCTAATATTTGTGTCAGTTTACTGTACGCATGTGTTGGTTCCCAGTTGCTTTTTCATTAGGCCAACTGAAGAAACAGAAGTAAAACCGCGGAGAACAATCCCAGCTTGTGTTCCAGCTAATTCGTTAAGTTTAATGTGGTTTAATTAGCTACTGAAAAATCTTCTCGACCTCATTAGTGTTTTACCGTGATGGAGTTTAGTAAAACTACGTATACATATGAGCTGTCACAGAAAATCCTAATAATACTTGAAATTACTGGTGCTTATGTGAGTTTCGGACCATCAAGTAAAGGGAGTTCGTTGATCATGAGTGTGTAGTGTGGCGTTGAGTCGGAGTTGACTATGATCATCACTACAGAAAGGCTACGTGCCAGCTAACCGATAAGATCCCTCGTAAGCCATATATCAGAAGGCAGTTAATTGCTATAGTCGAGATGTATTCGTTGGCGATCTCGTGGTATCGAAATAATACCGTGATCGTGTTAAAGGAGTATAAGTGTGGTTACTGAGCGTAACTGAATTCGTGCAAGGTCACAATCAATGGAAGGAAGAATGTCTTTAGTACAGATAAACAAGCAAGTACAGTAAAACAATCACTGTTACAATTGGTTATAATAATAACTGTTTCCATTAAACCAATCGCGTTCTCTTAATAAAAGTAGGTCACTACAAGTGTATCTGCAAGAGACACGCTCTAAACTCAATGTTCGGATGCATGATAAACCAATTATGTATACTCGTACTTGCCGGTTGATAGTTCATGAAAGTTCTCTGGAAGTATCAAGTTTGTTATAAGGTAGAAATCGATTTATTTCAAACAGAGTAATTACGAGTTGCTAAATTTGGTAAAGCTTATATTTCGCAAACACTGATGGCATAACTTTATACGTTTTCAGCCAAATAAATCTCTGCAAGGTGATAAATAGTAAGTGCTGCCTATGTGATTATCAGGGAAAGTAAAAGCCCAACATACGGCAACCGAAAAGATTAACACTCAACATTTAAAAACATTGAGAGGATCAGAAGTTGTGAATGCAGTAACACTTAATCAGTATATTATGACTCGACCATGCAACCATGGTCACTCTGTGTAACTGATTCATTTTAACATCTAATATAATGTTCTATCTCCAACCGAAATGTGTTTTTCAGATGTGCTGATCATCTTATTACTGGCTACCACAGTAGGACGAGTCAGTATAAATAATGATGTGACTTCCATGTAAGGTCTGATAAACTGGGTAGTCACATCATGAAAAATCTAAAATTGTGGAAGAGAACTATCATTCTAGTAACGAAGATAAATGCACTTTATACCGACCTATAACATAATTCCGTATTAGTGAAACCGACTGAAGAAGCGTACCCTGTTATTATCATATTCACTTTAGCTTTATCGATTGATTCTTACTGATGTTAACCCATTATTCCATTAGTCTGTTGACTTGTAACGCCCAAGTTTTTGCTCGTTCCCTTTATTGAAGTACGGTATGTCGATCTATTTGCAATTCACGAACCCAAATTAACAATAGAACCAAATTCCAATTTAGATACCAAAG